TACTATTTGTATGTTTACCAAAAAATATACTTAGAAGTGTAACTATCATTATTAAAAGAAAAGGCCTATTTGACATTGTTGACGATGAAACTTATCAAAGAGTTTCGTTGAACTTTAACTTGCCAATCACTTAAATGTCATTTATGTCTCTTAATTGACATGTAGATTATTCAATTATTTTTATGTAAATCATCTAATTTCTTCTTAAGTATCTTTCCATTTTCCTTTAAAGGCTTCAATTTTGAAGCTAAAGTTCCTTTTAAGGTAAAGATTTTTCACTTGATCTTTGATTCTTGATGAAGTTAACACTGATGATAAGACTTGGTTCAATTACCATAGCTCGGTTTAGATGGCAACTTGTTCAATAGTGTTCAATTTAATAAGCCATCACCATTACAATAGCTAGGTTCAATTTTAGCTGGATCCATTACATAGTTCGATTTGATTCTTAAAAATTTAAAACCAAGTTATTTGGTGCTCTTTGAAGCGCATTGGTGAAATAAAGTCAGATGACCATTTTCTTGAAACAAAAACAAATCAAACTGAAACACAGCTGACAGCACCTTTTATCCACCGCTTTCTTCTCCAAATTTGATCACCCCGATCTCATCAAATCAAACACACTCACATATACACGCAGAAAGAATTGTCGAAAATGGATGCATTTGATGAGGGTTACGCAGGAAAAAATGATGGCGAGGAGATCCAACCAAATGCACGTCCCTCCGACGACGATTCCTACATGGGCTACGACCCTTCGCAGCGCTATGGTTTTGACGACGACGCCCATGACGGAGCTCCTCCACCTCCACCGCAACCAGCCCCCATAGCTATGGATGACTTTTCCGTGGATCTCATGATGAACACTAACAATAACATGCAGTCGTCGGAGGGATATGGGTTCGGTGGTTCCCCGAATCCCGAGTACTCTCCCTCGCCTTTCCATGACAATGGCACTGGTGGTAATGCAAATGGGAACGAGAAGCCGTATGATACTGCAGCTGACACTGAAGGGCTATTCACGGATCCCTCTCCTGATGGGCCGTTGCTTCCTGACCCCAGTGAGATGCGGGAGGAAGGAGAAGCTTTTCGTGAATGGCTTCGGTAAGCATTTTTGTGTTCGTTATGTGTAATCGAAAATGTGTATATGATTTAATCTTGGGTGAATTTGAAAGGAAATTGATTTGCTTTGGATCACCAAAATGACTGATAATCACTAAACGGTGTTTTATTCTTCCTTTATAGAAATACATGTAGTTAGATCTAGCAATGAATCAATAAATGGAACCTATATAAATACACTGCTTATATCTGTTAATTTATTTTTATAACTCTCTTAAGTATACTATTTCTTAATATTCATGGTAAAATGCCATTGGCAGAGAAAAGTATGAGATGCATATTTTCGGTAAACTAAAATGATTAGTTCAATAATTAGTACGCTTGTATGTTACATACTAAAGTATTAGTCTTCACTAACTAATATAGATTAATTATTGGATGCTTTGGCTTTCACATCGACCAATTTTCTTGAATAGTTTCCAAATTGTTTTATGAAAGAAAATGTACATAAAAATGTCATGATAATGGTAGATAGACATTGTGAATGTGCATAACTGTTGAAACTTGGAGATTTTTCTTGTCATAAATTTTTGACACGAGATAGAAATTGTATGGCCTTAGCCTCTGATATTTTCTCTATCCAAGAAAGCTTCTATATCATTTGCATATTTGAAGATAAACTGGTAGATTTTCTTGTATAACTTAGGATTAAGGAAATATGAACAGAACTTATTGGGACTTCAAATACTTATATCAAACTTGGAACCAAGTTAGGAAACTTATTGAATATAACTAAGAACTGATTCTTCTCTTTCATTGAAATACTAAATTGTAATTAATGCCTAAAATTGTCTTGAGTTCAGTTCTGCGTGGATAAACCTTCGAGGGTGCTTGCTAGTAAGTGTAGTATAGGCGACAATTGAGTTAATATCTGTGGTGAAGTTTGAGCAGAAAATCCATTGGTCCGAGTTTAATTGTTCGGTTAAACTAGCTTTGTCTCGAAATTGTTTGTGAATGATGCAAAGCACTTTAATTTGTCTTAATCCTGGTCGAGGCTTCAAAAAAAAGCCATTCTGAGCAGTCTGTTCATGTTTCGGTCTAAGTTAGTTGAGCTTTGGTAAAATGCATGTTAATTTCCACATGCCATTCATTAGGCATTTTGTAATTATTAGTTTCATGATGCACAGTGGAAAAAGAAAAGAAAAGGAACACAAAATTAGTTATGTCTATTATATGCTATAATATTAATAATTTTATTGTGTAATGCACCCGTATACATGTATAGCTCACCAAGATCTTTTCATTCTATTAGTTATCCAAATATTATACAGTGCTTCCATCAGTATAAATTTTTATGACATTTAAGTTTCACAGCTATCATCCAGGTAAGAATGTGAGTTGGTGTTGCACAAGCAAGTTCTGGTAATGCTTTGTGTTTTGATTTAGGTAGATGAGAATGCAATGAAACGGTCTTTATGATGAGTGAATTGCATTACTTAATTTTAATCTCAGCATCACATAATGGACGGTCTGTGCACAATCTTTGTTAGTAATGTAAAGCCTGTGTAGGAGAACCATCCTTGACCGAGTATACTATTCTAGTCAAATTCACAGATATTTTGTTGGTGAAAACGGAACCAAATGGGTTTAGTCTTACATTCAGAGAACAATTAGCTTTGTTTTCTTTACCACTTGTGATGCTAAAGGGATTTTAGGTTGAAAGTACTCCAACTAAATGTTCTTCTCTGTTATATGATAGAAGGCATGTAGTCGATTTAAAGTTTCAGATAGAAATGATTAACCAAGCTCAATACCTGTCTGCTTCATTCTGGAATTGCTATTGGCTTTTATGATTTGTGTATCGATGTATGGATACTCGTGCTGCTCCAAAAATGTGAGAGCTTAGTTTCAAGGTTCTGAAAGCTATCATTTTCTTGCTCTTACAATTTGCCTTTTCATCGGTTTGTATCTATGGATTCATTGCTGTTCTTAGAAACATTTATTCATTGTTCAAAGTAATGTTTTGCTTCGTCATATTCAGCACAGTTTCATTCGCAGAATAAAATCGTTGGAGATCTGTTTTTTTACACATTAAGATTCGCAAACACTAGTGTAATATTGTCTTTATCTACTTTTTGATTATGTTCTATATCAAAATTTCACCCTTTTTCAATATACTATTCAGCTGAACAAAAGGCTTTGAGAACATGGTGCTTCATCAGTAAACATATTATAATTTTCTAAAACCTCTCAATGTAGAATCTTAGTAAACCATTGCATAAAAAGTAATGGATACTCTTTGTGATCTTAAAGACTTCTTTTGTTTTTGTTGGCATAGTCAAAATGCCATTTATCTTGAGGATAAAGAGAAGAAGGAGAAAGAGACGAGGAATCAGATTATTGCTGAAGCTGAGGATTACAAAAGACAGTTTTATGAAAAACGGAAACAGAATTGTGAGACTAACAAGGCTCAGAATAGGGAAAGAGAGAAAGTAAGATCAAACATCCAACTTCATGTCAAAGTTTAAACGAACTTTTATTAACAACTGGATATTTGTTTTTTGCAGCTTTACCTTAAAAACCAAGAGAAGTTCCACAAGGAAGCTGACCAACAATATTGGAAAGCAATTGCGGAGATCATCCCTCGTGAAGTTCCCAATTTTGAGAGGAGAAGAGGGAAAAAAGAAGAGGAAAAGAAACCTTCTGTTTTGGTTATTCAGGGGCCAAAGCCCGGGAAACCCACTGACCTCACGAGAATGCGTCAAATGCTTCTGAAGTTGAAGCAGACACCTCCACCTCACATGTTACCACCCCCACCCGAACCTGAGAAAGATGGTAAGGGAGGGAAGGATGCCAAGAATCAGAAAGTCGGAACACCAAACGAACTAAAGGATGGAACAGATGCTACTCCAACAGCTTCTTTGGCTGCCGCGTTAGACAAACCCGGTTCACCTGCTAAAGATGCAACAAAAGGCGGTACTCCTAAAACGCCCACGCCAGATGCATCTTCTGCTACAGGAGATAATAAAGAAGCCGAGAAGGAGGCTGCCTCTATCGCTTGATGGGTAATTTTTTATTCATTTTATTTGTTTTCTTCATCCTTAATTCAGTTATCTTACCAATAGCAAAGGAATAAAAGAAGCTCTCTTTGACGCCTATTCTCAGCAATAGGGGCTGTACAGAGCTCTGTTCTAACTTGCTTTTTACATTACACTTATTTTGGTTCTTATCATTTACATTTTATATTGAGTATCGTTTGGTTATATGTCATAAACGTCTAATTTTTGCCTCATTCTGTTGACACACTCACACAGTGCCAGAAATTTTGGTTTCTTAGATGATGGATGCTCCAAATTCATTAACTGCGGCTTTCACTTTTACATGCTTACTTTGCATATTTTGTGGGTGAAAATTAGTGCTTTAAACGTTAAGTACTAGAAGACTGTACAGCAATATGATTTAAATTTATCTTTGACGAAATCTACACCAAACATTTTCAACTACACATTTACTAAAAAAACTGATTTTAATCTACATCAAACAAAGGCTATATGTATAAGAAATTAAATTGCAAATTGATATGAATGTAGAATTGTAAATACAAATTCAGTAATCATTTTAAATACAGTATAAAATAATAAGATAAATGAGAGATGTTTTCTCTTGATTGTTACTCAATGTCGAACATTTTAAAAGAAAAAACATAGTGAAGTCGGGCATTCGAGGTCAACATTCGAATTTCCCGAACTTTAGTAAATGTCCTTTTCATCACTAAAGTATGTAATATAACATTGTCTTATAGTTGAAAGTAGCCTGCACGTTTCAATTTCGAGACATGGATGAAAGGTCCAAGCCCAAACAATTGAGAAACATTGATTGGGCTCGGCAAGCAAAAAAATTTGGTTGAGCAAGCATACAAGGCTCGGCCAATAGGAAAGATGGTCGAGCTGGCCAGGCCTCTCAAACAATATGAAATTAAATCAAAGTCGAGCCTAGAAGCCCGACTGACTCCCTCTAGAATGGATGATATTCAATCACCTTGGTTGGACGACTCGTAACTAATATAGAACCCATTTTGACCCAACGACCAGGCACTTACAACAAGAAGCATCAGTTTGGTTTCTTGAATGGGCATAGCCACCAAATTCAAGAGATGATTGACACATTTCAATCCCGATGAGCGACCGTGTCCCACTTAACCGTCCAAATTTGTTTATCGTGAATATGACATGCTATCAATTCTAAAACTTTCTAAGCATCCAATCCACATACCCTCTCTGCATACAAAATCTACATACATACAGTACTCTGGCATTGTTACTTCCACGAATTTTCCATCAAACTGATTTCTTGATTAGTATTAGTGTGTGAATTTTTTTGTAGTAACATTTTTGTATTTAACATGTTTGTGCAACACAAAATCCCCCGAAAACTCTTAGCAGGACTTTTAAATGGAACCTTTGAAAGAAGTTAGATGGACTAGAGTCTTCATATAAAATTGCTTTATTCTCTTTCCAATGGAATCCAAACTGGGATTTTGCCCAAATTTGTGGTCACATGCAAAAGTGGCTAGATCAAGATTAGTTTGTACACCAATACTTGATAAAAGTAAGTACACAACCAAACTATTACGTGAATAATAATCCAAAATTGAACAAAAATACCACAGATAATACGAAAATCTTATTAAAAAAACAAGGTCCCACATCATATACCAATAGCATAGCAAGCAAACAACATTACAATTCCATATCTGTTTGGTCCAAACTTTACATTAAATTACACGCCACACTTAAAATCGCACCCGCTCCTTTTGGAGAGGGCTACGTAACATAACAGAACACAACGCAATGACTTTACATTTAATTCGATAATTAACTCTCACACCCACTCGCACACTCCAGAAAGCAGGAAAAAAAGGGATCCCAACATAACAAAAAGAATCACCATTTGATGCCTCTTTTCCCATGCCTTCAGGGAATTCTATCATTCAGTAGAAGTTGAGGCGGGATGTGTAAGTGGCTTTTGGAGTCCAATTTCTGGGAATAACATCCATCGCAGATAGACTTCTTCCTGTTGATAGTGTTGTTAACTTTACAGAAAATGGTCCTCTTAAGGGTCCCCGAAAAATGAACCAATTTGCACCCGATAAATGTGTCATCTCTAGCCATTCATTCGAATTTGCCTGCAGAACAAAAAGTTAATGGGGGAAATGGTGCTTCATAGTGCAGAAATCCCATTACAAAAGTAGAGAAATTAAAATGCATGGGCGCAGAATTAACAAAAAGTTTTCCATTTGGGATATGTAAAAAGTAAGCAAATGAGTCTCTTTTGACAAAGTTTGAGGCTGTCGGGCATAAACATCAGGAATTGGTTATGTATATTCCATGATTTTAAGAGCTTTCTCTTTTAGATAATTGTGAAAGTGAAGCTTCTTTGACCAAAAATCACACATCCAAAAGAATATCTTTTGTTCAAGTCTCCTAGTGAATGTTACATATTGGAATTGTGTTTACCTGTTTTATATGCATCGACCCAACGTCGCCATCTCCATCTTCGAATTCAACTAAAAGTGAGAGCCAATAATCAGTTGATCCTTCCTTGACACGAAAGGCAATGTTTTTCCCAGGATACTTACATGGTGTCCTGCAAATTTACAACAAAATTACTAAAATTTGTACCTACATTAATTGTTTTTTCTATATAATTGATAAAAAAAAAAAAGTTCATTTTATATTTACGCCGAAAAGTGAGGCCCAATGATCTAACATTTGTCTCTTAATGCACGGCCGCAGAATAATTTATAATATCTGAGCTCAATTGTCAGTTGAGATGTGATTAGATTTTGACCACATTAAATCTCAAAGACAAAACAGAACAATACCGTTAAAGTCACTTACTGGAGTCTAGTACAACATACCGTCGGTAGATTACGGAAATTTCGCCACGGTTGCGCAACCTGCCACCAGCACCGGCGATAGCCATTCGTCCGAAGGCGGCACCGCTAAGGTCGAAGTGGGTGGGGCCATTGGAGCTGTAACCACAGGGGCACTCGTCCGTTATAATGACGGTCACAGCCCTTCGAGAGCATATTGACTTGTCCAAGCACCTCACTTTAAAGCACGCCCCACACCCTTCCCCGTTCTTAAATAATACTGGGCTCACTGCCCCGACTCGAGCCCTGAATGGCTTCACATCCACCAATGACCCGTACCCACACGCCCCACCTTCACCAAAAAACAAAAATTATTAAAAATGTAATGAACAAAATTATGAATGGAGCATGGTCGGGGCATATCATACCGTCACTGCCGTCGCCTTCGGGGCTTCCGTACCAAGTGGCGGTGGCGGGATACCAATTCAGGTCAGCAACTTCCCGGAGTGGCCCACCGGCGGCCTCCAAGCTATGAAACAACGCTAGCATGACATGCACCAAGAAATGGGCTAAATGGCGGCCACCAACCATAATGTAAGTGGAATGTAGATCAGCGCCACCACTCAACCACCAGTTTGAAGGAGGCGGAGGAACCGAGGTAGAGAAGTAGAACTTGAGCTCTGCCGAGTCTTTATGTTCTGAAACTCTGCAGTTGATTTTGTAGTGTTTTGTGGAAATATAAGGTTGCAAAAAGTTGGCATGTGCAATAGGGACCGATTTATCTTTTTGTAAAATGTTCAACTTTTTATGCCCACTGTGATTTTATTTAATCACGATGCTGCCACCATCTTTTGTATGGGGCCCACCGACAGTTACGGCGTTAAATCCACGTGTCTGATTACAGTCAAAGCACAAGGGTAGTTTAGTCATTACAGGAATTAGATCATTCTAGTTTGAGCTGAGTCGAATTTCGAGCGGATCACTTATGAAAAGCAGAGCTCGGCCTCAACCAAGGATCGCAACTACTCTTACATTGTATAAATTGCTAGTGAGAAGCACGTTTAAGGCACGTGTCATGATGTAGTTAATTATATACATTGTTAAATATTTCGAGCCAACATTAAAAACTAAAGTAAAAACAAACAACTCTTAAAAAAGGAAAAAAAAAAATTAAAACTTCATCTCTTCAAGCAACGCATCTCTCCGTGTAGAATGGAGAGATATCTCTCCTTATTGCAAGGAAAGAGATCTCTCAAGTTTGTAATACTAATTCACATTGTGATACTAAAATTATCCATTAACTTTTAACTAATCTGCAATTTTTGGATTTCATATTTAGGATGCTATCTGTGGATTTGCAATTTAGTGAAATTTTCTTAAGATTTGCGATTAATATGATTAATCGCAAAAATGTGACCATAAACTCCAATTGCTAGTATTCAGGATGCCAAGAGAAATTGTAGTACAATTATTCAGGACCGAATGCGAATAGCAAATATGTATCCACACAAAACCTAATAGCTACAGTTCATAAAAAGAAAGAGAAAATTGCAGATAAAATATTCAAGTTAATCGGTATCAAATACAAATAAAAAAAAAAAAAGAAGAAAAAGCATCCACACCAAACCCAATTGTTAGAATTCATAGGAGGAAACATAAAATTCCAAATAAAA